TTTAATTTTATTAATTTGCTTTCCTACACATATTTTAGCCCACCTTAATCTGCGTACATATGTGTTGGTTATCAATTTAAGCCAATACAGTTGTATTGGCCTTTTACGGTCACGAATTTAATTTGGTTTTGCGGTGATAAAGAACTTTACAAAAGAGTGAATAAGAAAAGAGCGATGGTCAAGAAAGTGACGACACCAACTAATGACCGACCGCAGCAATCGCAGTCACGCCTGAAAGATTATGTAAGAATTTCATGGAAATATTCTTACCTAAACTGTTAAGCAAACACAGTTGCTTTCTTTTGACGGAGAAGATGAAAATGTCGCCGCACATAAAACAAGTTACTTAACAAACAAAGGAATGAAGAAATGGCTTGCCGAAACTACATAACGGTGTTAGACATAAATTTTGAACTACCAAATACAGATTAATGCGGAGATGTGGATATGCTTAGAAGTGACAATCTAGTAGTGTAGAAAGGCCGGCAACGTAATGCCTGAGAACAATAAATTCCTTTGAAATAAAAGAAGAATGTGGGCAAATTAAATAGATGTAGCTCTTCTCAAGTCGTCGTATTTTTTCACAACATTTGTACGGTGAAGACAATTGCGTTTTATTTGAGCGAATTTTAGTTATATACTATATGGAAGTGTAAGACACTGGAAAAAATTCTAGTCTGGTGGAAAAGTGTGTTGACAAAGTAATAAGATGTAAACGAAGACGCCGAAAACTTAACAATATACTTGTATTACCAGAAGACTCTTGATGCCTTCTAATGAGTATCTATAGTGAGGTCTAATTGCTTCTAGTTAGTTCAGAAGCATAGGGCACTTTCCAAGCCCACCAGAAACAATATCTATTATTTAGTTGGAGCGGAATCATCACTTACTAACCTGGAGATATGGGGACAGTCCTGTTATAGGCCGAAGACGTGCTACATTTAAGCGATCAGACTTTAGACGTGACTGAATTTCGATAATCACTAAGCGTAATTCACAGAGAAGCAATTAACTGGTTTCTCAACTCCTTTCCGGTGAAATTAAACCAACACTTAATACAAAAGTTACCCTTATACAGGTTAGGTTAGGTTAGTCTCGTAGGCTCGAGAGCCACACATAGGCCAGTCTTGGTCCATAGCGTTGCCAGATGGAGTGCCGTTACGTAGTTCATGAGACGTCAGGGTGCCAGCGCTTAACGAGAATTTTAATAAGTTCTGCGGCCTCACTATCGATATCTTTTCCAAAATTTCTTCTCATGGGTCTCCAAATGTTTGAAGCGTTGCCTTGCTGGTGCGAGACAAGGGCACAAGAGTTGCTCCATTGTTTTCTTGAAGCCTTGCTCTTGACATTTCCTGCAGTTATCTCGATTTGTCAGCCCCATTCTGCAGGCATGTGCCACCACCAGACTGTGACCAGTGAGTATTCCAATCCTGCAGTTCCTTCTGTCACGAGTGAGCCCAAGCTTTGTGTATTTTTGATCTATGACTTTGTAGTTTTGCATCCTGATAGATCATTCCATCGAGTTTTTACCTTTCTTGCCACACTTTTGTCTAGATCGTCGTAAAGACAATGCTACTTATACAGACTAGATTCTAAATATGTGCTGAATGCAAATACACTAATTACCTCGTTGCATGCCCACTAAAATCAACTCATCCAATATCCATTTCCTTATGGTTGGACCCCGCGGACATATGTTTCCAGTCTAGACTAGGCTATATTTGAAGCTTTCATGTAACCCATTATAATATTCTTAATGCTCATCATCTGCCAGATTACTTTGAATTGAAAAATTTGTAAGGATAAGTACGAATTATTTTTTTTGAACTCTTACGCTACTCATGAATTCCAGCTGACAGCACGAACTTGCATAAACGAGGCTGCATGGCAAGGCGATTGAAATGCAAAATAGTATTATATTTTATTGGTTCATTTGAAGACTGAAGACCACACACATTCACTGGCGTTGGTTTAATATACTCGTATACACTGCTTATGGCTAATACTTAAATTACGATGTATGCAAAAGAGTTAAAAAAATAGAAAAATAAACACATAATGCGGGGAACAATGAGCGCTCATTCATTACATCAGCTTCGCTCATTGAAAAATTAGTGCTTTTTCTGCGCTTCCAATGGATTTTGCCTCTTTTTGCGATTTCTTTCGAATGCAATTGGAAATTTAATATTTTTGGACGAAAAAGATGCTGGACAGTAACAACAATGAGCAGTTTAGCGTTGACTACGATGCGTCCGTTGGGCACGTAGCGTTTCAGCGGACGTTTGAAAATTTTAGTGAGATTGATTTCAGTTGAATATTGAAAGTATAGTGGGCATTTCGATAGTAATCTATGAAAAAATATCTGAAAATAATACTAATAATACTTAAATAACCAAACAATATTCCTAAATACACACTTCAATATATATATTTAAAATGCTTTCAATTTACTATAAACAACTGTATATCACAAGCATTAATTTTGTACTCAACTAATGCGAGTCACCTAGCCTAGTATAAATCCGAACCTTGAACTTGACTTGACAGTCGCTTTCAAACCACTTTTCATCGCAACCCGTTGCGCGGCATACAAATTTATTATGGTAATTTACGGTTACTGCGACGGGTTCGGGTGCCTTGTAAGCACCTAGCGCCGGACCGCCACTGGTGTGTACATTATTTTTTATGGCGATAATCTCTTAGAATTTAATTTCACAGAACATTGAAGCACATTGTCATAAATAAGCGACTTCCTGTCGAAGCTATCGAGTGTCTAGCGAAAATGCAGCCCGTGGCGAAAAGCTTGGCAGCTGGCGGCTGAGTGGGTAGTGGCGCGAGTCAATTCTAGCCGATTGAAGTGTGCGACAAGGGAGACTGGGAAACTCTGCTTAAACTCAAATCATTTATAAATATGTGGTAGGTATGTTAATATATTTGTATCTATGAGAATATCTTGAATTTGCGAATTTTCGCTTCAGCTAACTTGAAAGACAGTGCTGTTGATTTCTTTGGGAACCCATATGAATACCATATTTGGCTTATTTTTCTTCACATTTGCTCGAAATTTTATTTCTCCCACTTTATTGTGGTTGAGGGCAACAAACCTAATTTAATGACCGTATGGGTTGGCTTTAATTAAAATCATAGAAAAGGCGAACAATAAATAAAGCTGCGTGGAAGACGAAAATAAAATGGTGGCGTAACTCTTAGTAGAATGAGTTCACCAAAGTAATACAAACCGAAAAAAAAATACTCTGGAATGACGTGCCGGCGATTATATTCCCGGCAGTTAAAAGAATATAATAGTCCTGCGGTTCCAGAATGCTATTCAAAATAAACAGCTAAATATGTAAAAATATATGTGAAATTGTATGTTTGAATGCATTCAACCCCTCCACAGAAAAATTCCACTCTACTTTTCGAAATGAATAAAAACGAAAGGTCAAGCGAAATTAGGGTTCGCAAAAATAAAAAAGTTATAAAAAAAATAATAATAAATAAATAATAATAAAATTAAAAAGAAATTATTATTACTCAAACTTTGAGCTGTCATATATTAAATTACGGAATTATGTGATTAATTAGGCCTTGATTCTTCGAAACTCAAATCGATTGAATAATCAAGGTTTCAAATAACAAAAAAAAAACACATAATATTGAATATTCGACCTATTAATTACCACTTGATCACATATTATAAACTGTCTTTACCTTGAATATTATTTAAATAATAATTTCAGATAGATCCATATACTCGTACATATTAACCGTCAAACTAGTTCTGAATTAAAAATGTATCTTGGTAGTTGCACTGTTCCTACAGGGTTATGTCCCATTTAATGGTAATGCCAAGTGAAAGGATAACTAGAATATAATAAAGAAATGTTGTACGCGCATAAATTAGGGGTTGAGCTCGTAAATTGCCACAAAAATGAGAGGCTAAATATATTTGTAGGTTTATGTAGGTAGAAATATAAATGCACATTTTGCCCACCAAAGCCGGTTAAACAAATTAAAAACGGTAATGTTTTATGGCTATTATGAATATAAAATATAGCTGTACCTATAACTTACTTTTTGGATCTTATAGGGATTTAGTACTGTTTTATAATTTTTTCCTAGAGTAAAATATATATTTGGGACAAACATATTGTTAAATTCATCTTTAAGAAATTCAGTTTTAGTGTGTCACTGTGAATTGGCTTTACAAACGCCAGAGGGTCAAATATGGTATTTAATTCACACCAAGTGTTGTCGATTGGACTCCACACCGCGTTAACTGCAGGCGACTTTAGAAGAGAAGTAGAGAGTCAAATAGAATTAAAGATTACAAAGTATTTTGTATATCCAGTCCTATGGATTTCATTATTGTCCTGTTAAATTGTCTAAAACTCACCTCTACATAATTTTCTGAGTTCTTATTATTTGAAGCCCCTTCATTGGAGCTAAAAGCAGCACAAGTCATTGTTAACTAAGAAAGCTTCAGGAGGGGTGCCTTTGGTTTGGGTTTCGAACATCTCTCAATTATGTATTATACCCTGAACATGGTACATATATTAAGTTTCTGGTAACACCCCGAAGGAAGGAAACGTCGGAGACCCCAAAAAATATATTAATATATATAATATATCATATATAAATATGATCGGCTGAGTCTATGTAGCTATATTCGCCTGTATGTATACTCGTACGTGTGAACTAATTCTCAGTTTTTGAGATATCGATCTGAAATTTTGCACACTTCTTTTCTCCCAACTGTTTATTTGTCGAAACCGCGGATCTCGGACCGTTTTGGCAAGAATTAGTGTCCAAAACAACGGAACTCTGTGAAGAGTGTTATAGCTTCGGTACAACCAAAGTTAACATTATTTTTTGGTTTTTTGTTTTGAAATAAAGATATATTGTTATTGTATGTTATATAAATTAGAACTATTATAAAACTGAAGTTCGTTGTAAAGTTATAGCTAATAAATTAGTTATCTTTTCTGTTTATTTTATAGATCGCTTCAGTATCTTCCCAGTAAAAATGTAAGTACCTCTTTTGATATCGTATATGTTTTCTACAATTATTTAAGCCGTATAAAATGTATAATAAATTTATGTTATGATATCTATCATATATGATCTATGTACTCACGTATTCGTATGATATATATATGTATATATAAGTATGTTATAAAATGATATAAGAAAGCACATCACTGAGAACCATTTATATTTGACCCATCATGTGGATATTTTCATTTTATTCCACAACGTCATAACCTCAAAAACCCACAATACATAAAACGCTACAACTGGTCGAGGACAAAACCAATTGGTTACAAAACCTTTAAATTTGTAACGAGCTCATTTAATAGCTGTATTTATGTGAATGGGAGTGTCGCGGTATGTAACCTCATGATTCTTTGGGCGTTGGGCAAATGTAGCGAAATGACCACCATTCAGTTAATGATTCAAATGTTCATTTTATGTTAAGATTTGACTGCAGCTGCAATCTTAAGTGCTAAAGTCATAAAATCCTAGAGGAGTAGACTTACAGCTTTAGTCGATTTGGTTGTCCACTCGCTTTGGTTCTTTAATTTTAAAAAATTTGTATGACTATGCCGTGATTGCACACATCACACAGATGAGTAAATTACAATAAGCTTTTAGTAAAGCATGTGTTGCTTTACATTATATTTTATCCGTTGAAAATATAGAAGCTTTTTCCAAAAAAAGAACCAATGACAGAGTAAAGGTAAAGGTGTTTGACAGACGCTGGTTATATAGCTATGCAGCAGAAGGATAATTTGTCTCAGTTGTTCTGACAGTCGATTGGCCAAAACCCTCTTAAGCGAAAGCGAAATAGAAACTAGGCGGTTATTTCACGGATTTTGAGAATGCCAAAACGTTGGAGTATCGCAATATCGTTCACCGTGGCCAATGAATGAATTGAATGAAAATAATGATTTTATGAATTATGAGGTATTAAATATGAGGCGGCTCATGATTTTAGGCCATTTGAGACAGACTCGGCATCACTAAGGCATGGCATTAATCTCGAACTTGTTAATAAACTCGGACTAAATTGGCAATGCGAAGAAAGTAGATCTATGAGTAATTCAACACAATGTCTTCATTCCCCAGTAGAGAAGAGTAAATAACGAAATCTACATATTCGCCGACGGATAAACGGATGAAATAGGAACAGGAACTGCCTTCTTCGGTAATCTAGACACAGTAGCTACAAATTAAATAACGACAGTTCAGTCTTTCAGGCCGAAATTGTGGGTATAACAGAAGGTGCCAAGTGGGCTTATCTCTTAACCAGCAATTCCATAAACCTTCTAGTGGATAGCCAATCGGCAATTAAGGCTATCGAAAGCGCCAATAGTAAGTCTCACTGTGTTAGGTTATGCATGCAAGGAATATCTACACTCTCAGTAGGTAACTCGGTTAAAATCATCTGGATACTCGTTCATATAAGAATAGAAAGAAATGAAAACGCAGACGAGCTAGCACGCTCGGTGGCAGCTGGAAACACATTTCCCCTGAGCTGCCCCAGACCATTCAGCTCCTTTTATGGCTGTTTGAAGCAATAGACCCTAGAAGAATAACTTATGTATTGAAACACCAGCAACAGAGGGCATACTACAAAGTTACTTTGGGGTAGTGTTAATGACAAACAGACCAAAAAGCCCCTACTTCTAGGCAAAAGGGAACTTAGTAATATTGTGAGGGTCAACACATGACACCTACCACCTTCCACCTTCAGAAAATGGGAAAAGTGGATTCGGCGGAATGCAGAGCATGCGCGGAAGATGAAGAGACGCTCGAACATCATTTATGCGAATGGCCAGTCTTCATCCGGATGAGACGGGATATATCCTACGGTTCCTAATGTTCCAATTTAAGAAACATCGGGCAGCTGGGGTGTAAAAAATCAAGATTTTTACTAAAACTACTGAGGTGCTGGGTAAGAATTAATTTGATTGCCACCCGGGATCACATTGGGCCTAGTGATAACCTAAGTTCGGCTGTCTGAGGTCTTATGCTCTTGGGCCTTCCTTTTCAACCAATCAACCAACCATCATCTATGACTGAAGTATCGTTTGTAGCCATAAATTGGCCTCCACTTACTTGTTTGCCCATAAACATGTCAAAAAATTTAAACATTGTATGAAATTCCTAATTAATCATTTTGTACATTTGTGGGTGAGTATTCAAAATTAATCAATTTTTTCGTTTAAGATTTTTTTATAAATTGCGGTCAAATTCATTTAAATATATATCCCATATACATGTGTATGTCCCATATACATATCTAGGGTTGTGAACATATGAAAGCGGTGATGCATGCAAACGAATTTCATTTCACTCAGACATGAGTTCAAGGCCAAGCTTTTCAAAGTTAATGACTCGCTTGCTAATAAACTCTAAGACATACATACATACATACATACAAATGTGTGTAATATTTACAAATGCAACAGCGCTTAAATGAATATTTGAATGTATGAACTCGTGAAAACTTTCCATTTTTGAGCATCAAATCAATTTGTAATTTTCAGTCCTTTGTTGTTAAAAAATATTGAAATGCTATAAGCTACTAATTAAATATGGCGAGCAAGCAAGTGCTTACAATATACTTATATACTTATGTATATGTATGTATATAATTATTTTGCCCACACTTTTTATAAATATTTATTGCATATTTTGAGGATAAAATTACTGCTGAAAATCACATAGCGGTGATGGAGTTAAACTTTTACACCCGAGCGAAACATTTTACTGAAATCTATAAGAATTTTCTAAATAACAAGCACAAGAAAAAACGTTAACTTTGGTTGGCACCGCAGCTATAATACCCGTCACAAATAAAAAAGTTTGCACAGAAGAATTTGATTTTAAACGGTCAGTATGTATGGCAGCTATATAGCGACGTTTATACCGTTGCCTTAGATAATAATCCATATCAATCTTCGTGAATACCTATATTTTGCCAAATACAAAAGTTTTTCATACAAGACCTTGATTTTGATAGTTCAGTTGGTATGGCAGCTATATGCTACAGTGGTCTGATATCGACGGTTCCGACAAATAAGTAGCTTGTTGAAAAGAAAATAACGCGTGCCTTCAATTTCAGATTGATATCTTAAAAACTGAGGGACTAGTTTGCGTATATACAGACGGACAGACAAACGGACGTGGGTAAATCGACTCAGCTCGCCACGCTTGTCAACTGTTCAGGGCATAACAACGAATATTCTGATATGATGATATTTACTTTATAAAATTGTGTGTTGGGCATATAAATGTTTCGTGCGAAGCTTTGTTAAGTTTGGTTAGGCGTACTTTTTCATTATCGTTTTGGTTTTATAATGACCTCTGTCTCTCTTTTTTGAAATTGAAATTAACATGTCGCATTAAACAATTTTTATCGCGGTTTTCGAATTCCGCAACTAAATGGTATATTATACATATATTATATTAGAAATATGAGGATGCCGGAGCTTTATATTTACATATAGGTACAATAGAAATCTTGGTAAATGACCGACTTTTTCTTAGAACTTTCCTCAAGACATTGCTATGCGTTTAAAAACTTTATACAAAACTTAAGATTAAAAATATTTTCCAAATTCGCACCCAATCAGTGCATTTTATTACTCAAATCAGTTTCTATTGAATTTATTGTTACCGCTTTTTCTTCTCCACACCGTCCACATTTAGTTGTATTGCAAGGAAATATTGGTGCGGATTGCGAAATGATTGAGACCGATCCTTAAGTCACATATAAGCCCACCCTGGGTTTAAATATGACTCGAATAAATATTATTTCGCGTGATCACCCTTTCTTTTCTAGATGCCACATATGTTAATAAGATCGCTAGAAAGTCTACTTGCGTGTGGTGCAAAAAAAAAAAAAATACTGAAACATATATTTTTATTGAATACGATACGCAATTTCAGGCGCATGTGAGCATACGAATAACTTGTTTATGCTTTTACCAAGAGGCATTGGTAAAAGCATTCTAAAAAACAATATTTGGTAATATGGACCATTCGTTTAACCGCCCTGATTTAGTACCCCATCACTTCTATTTTTCCCTTACATGGGGTGTATGCGAATCGAAGAAATATCTGGTCTACATGTATTAGAGTATTTATGTATTAGTATTGTGTAAATGGATGAATGAATTCAAAAAGCCTTCTTCGATTCGTCACCTCTCTGCTCTCTTTTAACAAAATCATTTATTTGGAAGTAGCAGCAAAGTTATGCCACTCAATACAAGCGAGTGTTTGTACACTTCATTAAAATGAAAAAATTGCTTGCTATTATATCTCTATTTTGATTATACTAGTTTATACCTGTTGGTCGTTCGAATAATAAGTATCTGAAGTTTGGCAAACTAAAATTATTTGAAGTGTTTTTTGCTGTATCGGCGTATATGACTACTTGTCTATATACAATACGTTCAAAAAATAATGTTTTTTCTTTGCGTGATAAATTCGCGGAAAACTGTTTTTTATTTTATTGCAAATTAACACATGTTCAATTGCGATCACTGAATCGTACAATTCGGTTCGTTTTTTTCGATCTTCTTAATGTGTCACGTTGTGCCGTATTTGAAGTTAGATTAGTGCTCAGTATTTGAAGCAACTCCAAAGTATTTAAGTACGAGTTGTACATTTCCTTTACGAAAAAACTGGAAACATAGATGGCAAGCCAGGAAAAGGGAGGAATTACGTTGCATCTAAAAGTAAGGATAAAGCTATTATTCTCCTTTTTGAGAAGAAACCACTGCTTAGTCTAAGAAAATCGGAAAAAATTTTGTTCAAAAAGGAATTCGATATACATATGTATCTCTAAATACAATACGGCGCAGACTTCAGAGATCTGGCCTCAAAGGCAGCAGTACTGTAATCAAACCCTGGATTCTCTGCTCATGGATTTAGGGTTTTGAGGTGTTTCATAGAAGACCTGAATGCCGCTAGAGTGATAAAATTGTATAAACATGATTTACTGAAGTCGGCTAAAA